AGAGGAAAATTGGAAGATTGAGAGGATCAGGGGCGAGATCACCCAGTTTTTTCAGGACAATCGTGGATTGTTAACCCGTTGTGGTAGGGTGTGGGTTCCAGTGTCTGGCGAGGTTAGACAGATAGTGTTTGAGAAGGCTCATAAGTCGTGTTTCTCTATTCAACTAGGGGCCACCAAGATGTACCGGGATCTGATTTTGAGTTACCGATGGTCGTGCATGAAGCGAAAGATCGCTTGGTACGTCGAGAGGTGCTTGACCTGCAGGATGGTCAATACCGAGCATCATAGGCTGCATGGCAAGCTGCAACCTCTAGAGGTTCCCATGTGAACATGGGAGGACGTCACGATGTACTTTATCACTAAATTTTTGTGGACCAAAAGTGCCCATTTTCTGGCAATTTGGGAGAGTTCGTCAGTCAAGAAGTTGGCTGATGTGTATATGTTGAGATCGTTGCTCGCCATGGGGTGCCAGTCTCTATTGTTTCAGACTGTGATGTTCAGTTCACCTCCCAATTTTGGCAGAAGTTCCATGAGGAACTGGGCACGAGACTGCATTTCAGCACCTCATACCATCCCGCAGACAGATAGCCAGAGCGAGCGGACCATTTAGAACCTCGAGGATATGTTGAGGGCATGCATCATTGATTTTGGTGGGAGTTGGGACTCCCACCTACCCCTTGTAGAGTTCTCCTACAAAAACTTTCATCCAACATTAGTGCTCCACCTTTCGAGCTGTTGTATGGACAGAGATGTTGTACCCCAGTCTCTTGGGGCAAGGTTGGTCACTGGGTTATGGGATAGACCGAGGTTGTTCTGCAGACTACCTAGAAGATTCAGCAGATCAGGCAGTGATTGCAGACTACTCATAATCGGCATAATAGTTATGTCGACCGACTTCCATCCGAGTTGGAGTTTCAGGTCGGCATTATGGAGATGTTGAAGGTCTCAACCTGGAAGGGTGTGATCCGCTTCAGGAAGAGGGAAAAGTTGGGTCCCCAATATGTTGGATTGTTTCAGATTATTGTCAGCGGTGGCAAGGTGGCGTATAGGTTGGATCTTCTGGAGAAGCTTCGTCAGATTTATAACACTTTCCATGTTTCGCAATTGTGGAAGTGCATATTAGACGAGGATGCGGTGGTGTCATTGGATGACATTCAGGTTGACAAACACCTTAATTATGTTGAGCAGTTGGTGGCTGTCTTGGAGAGTAAGATAAAGGTTATGCATAACAATGAGATACCTTTGTTAAAGGTACAGAGTTAGCAACAGAAAGGGTCCGAGTGGACTTAGGAGCCGGAGGCAGAGATGTGGGAGCATTACCCAGAACTATTCGTTGCAGCAGGCTTCGAGGACGAAGTCTAGTTCAAGTGGGGGAGAATTGTAACATCCTAATCTTCAGGTATAAATTTAAAACTTATTATTTATGTTTTAAGGGAAACTCGATGAGTTGGAAGGCTCCAACTCGTCGTGTAGAGTTTAATGGACGCGCATCTTTCAGGGTCTACTCGACGAGTTAGAAGACCCCAACTCGACCAATTGACGACTGTTTATGAAACCATAATTTTCAGGGTTTTGCACCCTATTTAATGAACTTATGACTCATTTATGGCCTCCCTCATCTTCCCCTCAGTCCAGATAAAACCCTAATTGTACTTCTTTCCTCATTTTGAGTGTGTTTAGAGTGTTATTTGGTGGTTTTACTGGAGGAGTGGAAGTTGGTGGTGCATAGCTGAAGAGAGGAGCTCTAGATCCGAGATTTTAGTGTTGTTGCAGCTACTTGGAGGTATAAAGTTGTTATCATGACCATCCTTTTTATTAGATCTCTTCTCTTGAAAGTTTATGGCCATTATTAGCTTATTTTGGGGTCAATCTTGGATTTGAGCATGTCATGAAGCTAAGACTCCAGATCTGGACATCTCATGGCCTCTATAGACTTAAATTTGCCAACTTTATCAAGTCTTGGCCCTCCTTCATGTCCTAAGTGACTAGATAAGCCTTATTTGAGTTTTCTACCCCTCTGATACCATGCATGGACGTAAAGTTAGCAACTTTGTGTGGTATCTTAGTCTTAGGGAACAAGATCTATAGTTTGGAGCATTAGACTTGCTTAGAAGAGACTGAATGCATAAAGGCTAGGACGAACTCGACGAGTTGCTCTGCCAACTCGATGAGGTTGTAAGGGTTTTCCCGCTTTTTGTATACTGAAGAACTTGACGAGTTGCTCTGCTAACTCGACAACTTGGATCGAGTTTTCCCGTCTTCTGGATGATAAACGTACTCGGCGAGTTGATGAAATAACTCAGCGAGTTGGCTAGTGTTTCTCCCAGTTTTCTAAACACTGAAGGAACTCGACAAGTTGTTGGATGCACTCGACGAGTTAGGTCAACATGGACTGTTGACCTTAACTATTGATTGTTGACTCTGACCATGATTGATTAAGGTTGACTTTGAGGGTATTTTTGGGAATTCGGGATTTTGATGGAGTTAGTCACATGGTGATTGTAGGGGTTGAGCTCGGAGCTGTGATTCAAGGGTTGGATCTTGTCAGTCGGTGCTATTTATGAAGTGAGTTTTCCTCACTATACTAAGGGGTCGAAGGCACCAAGGCCGACCTATTGGATTGATATCCTAGTAATTATTAATATGTTGAGTATGAGTTAGATATACATGCTAGTTTGATATGCTAGTCCGGTAGATCTGTAGGACTACCTGTGATACTGTCTGATTATCTGTATGTGAATTTATCTGTTACATGTCGACATGTTGTATTGGATGGGTTGACCCAACAAACCCTGGAGTATGCCAAATATGAGTTGAGGTTCGGGCAGGGCATGCCAGACTCATATTGAGGACTCCTGAGCATTCCAGATATGAGCTGAGGGTCGGGCAGGGTATGCCAAACTTGTACTATGGGCTAATCTTTTGTCTTTCAGTCCAAGGACTAAGGGAGCAATCCAAACATAAGTTGTGGACCCAAGGGGCAACCAGACTTATGTTATGGGCTCATGAGCAAGCCAAATATGAGTTGTGGGTCCGTTAGGCAAGCCAAACTCATGCTATGGGCTCGAGGGTAATCCAGTCTGTATAGTTATGGACCCATTACATGTTGTTATTTGTATATGTGCTATTTGTAATGTATCGGTATCTTAGGGGAACTCACTAAGCTTTTGGCTTACAGTTGTGGATTTTGTTTCAGGTACATCAAATGATCGCGGGAAGGAGAAGGTTTGTTCGTGCACATCCTCACATTTTATGTCATGATTTCTGGGATTCTTTGATATGGTATTATTTTGAAAACAATTTATAAACAATGAATGGTTTTTGTGATGTTTAAAAAGTTTTAAAATTTTCATTAATTTTATGAATGTTACAAAAGCCATAGGAGCTAGGATCATTTCCTAAGTTATATGGACTATGTTGTTGTATACAATGTGACCGTTTGTCTTAGTAAAAGTCATGTGTGTTATAACCATTAATCTATATGGAACGTGGAACGTCATGTATGGATCGACAATACTAATTTATAAATGTATACATCCCGCCAACGGTTGCTAGTTACAACCATCGTCTGATGAGTCAAAAACAGACATTGACGTTTCTATATTATTTACTCCACGACGTTGATAAAGTGCTGATGTAGAACTTTTAACATGCCCGTTTTTAGTGTTGGTACAGAGGTTGCTAGTCGCAGTTAATTCTGTTATGAGCTCATTATGGATCTTCGATTCATTTCTTTACCTTATAGAAATGAAATAAAATTTATATGAGGTTTTTGTTCACTTATACTAGTTGAAATAGATTGTATGTAGTGAGATAATTTGTGACTCAAAACGATAAGTGTCATTACAAAAAATTACATCATATAACATTGTTTGTGCCTCAAAATGATAAGTGTCATTACCAAAAATTAAATTATATAACATTTAATTAACATTATGACACGATTGATTAATGGTTAATAACTTACGGTTAATAAGTTATTTATATCAAGTTTGCATTTTGAATGAAAACACATCGTTTATGTGGGAGGAGTTTGCCCCCATTGATTAAATGTCACTTCCCAAAATAGATAACACTTAATAATTACTATGTCACCACCTTATAAGTTTTATAAATTTAGTATGTACGAGTTTACATACAATTACTTATAAGAAACTTCAAGAGTAAAATTGATTATTTGATATTTCACAAAAAAAAAATATGATATATTTTATTTTTATATAGCTACCTATTCAAAAATCCTTATTTTACAAACCAAAACACGTTTTTATTTTGTTGAGTGATATTGGAAGATGAATCATTCCCGATTACCCCCCACTCCAATTTTCAAATATTTGTTAAATCCTTTTTGTGCTATATGGTGCTTTCTTTGCTCCAAAGTGGTCCTATCTAAAGCCATATATAATAGTCAAAAAGACATTCACCAAAAACTTTTTTCCATTAACAAATAATACATGCAATCATATCCATATATGATAGGGTTTTTACTTTATCCCTTCACATGATACTGGACAAGTTTTTACAATTATTTTTTTGAAGATGAAAAGAACAAGTTTATATTTTGTAAAAACCCACATCAAGAGGAAATCCGGCCCTTCTACATCGTTTTTTTTTTTTTTTTTTTTTTTGCATAAAATTAAATCTTGTCCTTTAACATCAGTACGTCTATACAAACACCGCAAATCCTTGGTGTCTTGTTTTGTAGTATCTTACATCGTTTTCGAAAAATTTGCTAAATATCAAACAATTATCATCATATTAGATATTATGTTGGGTTGGTTTAGTACTAGACACTACCCACGAATGTAGAAATATTCTTTTTAGGAGACTACGTACTAAGGAGCAACACACACTTATTAATACCAGTCGAATCAGTGACTCCATTCCCTCGCACTAATAATACCCCACCATATGCTACCAGTTAGCATCTTTTTAACAACTAAAACCACCCTGATAATCTAATAGTCAACTACTCACCCTTACACTCATAGATCAGATAAATGAACCCCATGGAGGTGGTGATGATGGTAGTCACGGTGGTGTTTTGTTACTGTTGTGCAGTAGCAGACCAAAAACACAATAAAAAAACGTATATCGTTCACATGGACAAATCAGTCAAGCCATCAGTGTTTTCCGACCACCTGCAGTGGTATGCAAATTGTATGAAATCCGTTTCCGAGTCAACTAATATGTTGTATTCATATGATTACGTCATGCATGGGTTCTCGACCAGGCTAAGTGTTGAGGAAGCGAAGCAACTTGAACAGCAGCACGGGATTCTATCGGTTCAAGAAGAGGTGATATACAAGCTCCATACTACTCGGTCACCGGAGTTTCTTGGACTACAAAGCCGCGGCATGATCGTTTCTGGGCCCAAATCAGGTGGTGATGTGATCGTCGGAGTGGTGGATACTGGTGTGTGGCCGGGAAGTAAGAGCCTAGACGATACAGGGTTTGGCCCGATTCCCGTATCCTGGAAAGGTGAATGTGAGACTGGTACAGGTTTCAATGTATCAAGCTGTAATAAGAAACTGATCGGAGCAAGGTACTTCTCGATCGCATATGACGCAGCTTCTGGACCAATTGATGAAAAATTGGAATCCATGTCGCCTGTAGATGATGATGGACATGGAACACACACAGCAACTACAGCAGCTGGTTCCATGGTCACGGGGGCTAGTTTCTTTGGGTTTGCGAAAGGAACAGCACGTGGGATGGCCCCTCATGCAAGGCTGGCAGTTTATAAAGCATGTTGGGCTGCGGGATGCCATGGAAGCGACATATTAGCTGCCATGGAAAAAGCAATCACCGATGGTGTCCATGTGTTATCAGTGTCGATAGGAGGCACGCTTTCTGATTACACCAATGATTTCGTTGCTTTTGGAGCATTCAAGGTAGTATCACATGGGATATTTGTAGCAAGCTCTGCGGATAATAACGGACCGGAGCCTTCAAACATAGCGAATGTCGCCCCGTGGATAGCTACAGTAGGAGCAGGAACACTGGACCGTGATTTTCCGGCGTATGTTACCCTCGGAAATGGAAAGAAATTTAGAGGAGTATCACTTTACTCTGGAAAACGTTTATCACGTACATTGATTCCATTGGTTTTTGGTGACCTGTGTACACCGGATTCGTTGCCACCGGAAAAAGTTGCCGGCAAGATTGTGATGTGTGAACGTGGGGTATTTTCAAGATTGGAGAAGGGCAAGGTGGTGAAGAAAGCTGGAGGTTCTGGAATGATTCTAGCTAACCCTGATACATTTGGGGAAGAACTCATGGCTGACCCACATGTCCTACCAACCGCCGCCGTAGGTGAGACAGCCGGCGATGCAATAAAAAGGTATATATCCTTGGATAATAATCCAACGGCTACGATTGCATCTGGAGGGACCCAGTTAGGAATCCAACCATCACCAGTAGTCGCATCATTTAGCTCTCGAGGTCCAAATCCCATCACACCAGCGATACTCAAACCTGATTTAATAGCACCAGGTGTTAGCATTCTAGCGGGTTGGACCGGAAAAGTCGGTCCAACCGGTTTAGCCGAAGACCCTCAGCGAGTGGAATTTAACTTCGACACCGGAACTTCGATGTCGTGCCCACACGTAAGTGGGTTAGCCGCCCTGATAAAGGCTGCCCACCCTGAATGGAGTCCAGCGGCTATAAGATCAGCGCTTATGACCACCGCATATAGCTCGTATAAAAATGGTGAAGGCTTGAGGGATGCTGCAACCGGAAGACCATCAACCCCGTTTGACCATGGCTCAGGGCATGTGGACCCGGTTAGAGCCCTTGACCCTGGTCTGGTCTATGATGCCTCTGCTAACGACTATTTGAGCTTTCTTTGTGCTTTGAATTATAGCTCTGCTTCAATTAAGATGTTTGCAGGTGGAAAGTTTACGTGTGGAAAGAAAAACAGGGTAGAAGATCTTAACTACCCGTCTTTTGCTGTTCCTTTGCTTACGGATTCCATCAAAGATAATGGAAGCAGTGGACAAACCGTTGTTAAGTATAGAAGGAGTCTGACAAATGTGGGCAATCCAGCAACTTACAAGGTTTCAGTATCATCAAACGTGTCGGCTGTGAATATCACAGTTGAGCCTGATCGGTTAACGTTCGTCAAGCAAGGTGAGAAGAAGGCGTATACCGTCACATTTACTGCTACTTCCATGCAATCGGGGACTAAAAGCTTTGCTTGTCTAGCATGGTATGGAGGAAAATATGTTGTAAATAGCCCGATAGCTTTTAGCTGGATGTGATTACCGAAAAAATATTGTAACATTCATCGTGGCCAAGCAATGTATTTTCCCTGGCTATATATATATATATATATATATATATATATATATATATATATATATATATATATATATATATATATATATATATATATATATATATATATATACCCTTAAGGGTATATAAGCTTAGGTACCCAAACACACCATATTATATCGTTTCGTATTATATAGAGCCATTGTAATTGTTCAATGTTCTTATAATTCAACTTCTAACTTGAATTACTTTAAAGATTTTTATAAATTTCATGTTTATCTTACTCTTACATAATTGTTATTTTCAACAATAATATATATAACTTAGTAAGTGTTCGACAAAAAGATATGATGTAAGAGGAAGATAATAGTGAAAATTTAAAAATATTGAATATAAATCAAGTTAAGGATTGAAGTTTAACAATATTATACTAAATATATCAAACAAAACGACGTATTATTATGAGTTTGGTACCTAAGCTTACATACCCTTAAGGGTATATTCACTTTTCCCATATATATATATATATATATATATATATATATATATATATATATATATATATATATATATATATATATATATATATATATATATATATATATATATATAATGCAAAAAGTAGAGTACTTTGGTTTACTTTTCCAAAATTCATAAAATAAAGGGAAAATTACTTAAAAGCCTAAGGAAGTTTTCAAACCATTCAAAAAATCTCAATCATGTTTTGTCTGTTCAAAAAAACTCAACGAACTTAACCTTTTGTCTAAAAAGTCCAACAAAGTTCCAAACCGTTTAGAAAATTTCAATCTTTTTTTGTTTAAGTTTGTTGGGTTTTTTTTCAACAGTCAAAACATGATTGGAGTTTTTTAAACGTTTTGGAAACTTCGTTGGTTTAACAAGTCATTTTTCCGATACGGTAATAAGTCACGTCATTCGTTTCTCTTATTTGACTTTCAGCAAGTGTAACTTAGTTGGACTTTTTAGATAAAATGTTACGTTTGTTGGGTTTTTTTGAACAGACAAAACATGATTGGGATTTTTTGAACGGTTTGAAAACTTCGTTGGGTTTTGAAGTCATTTTCCCTAAAATAAATCATAAAACGCACTCACATTTTTGTGACCTGGCGCCAAAAAGCACCATAACTACAGCCCAAACACCGCCGGAGCCTTCTGTTTTTGTGCGTTACGTGGCTTGGCGTTGTGATCGTAACGAATGGCAACAGGAGTTTCTCCGTTTCCTCTGTTTTTTTTTCTTTAAAATTTGCCTCACAATGGAATTGTGAATTTGGAACACTATCCCTGAAAAAACGTGGTGGAGGGTTTTTGCCTATGTGGCCTATCAACAACGTTTTTTATGGTTGCCTATATCGGGCAGCCTAAAAGCCATTTTGTATTATCTGTTTCCAAACCACGTCAATTAGCCAATTAATTACTTTCATCTCTGCAACGTGTGTTTTTGAGTGACTTGACGAGAAAAAAACGGATATGGCCTTCACAGACTATAAGAATAAGCATATATAGGAACAAGATCTATAGGAACGACATTTGCCGTCACTATAGATTACCTATAGGGTCGACTCGTCGTCGCCATAGAGTTGATGATTTTTTTTTACTTATGAAGCTACAGCAACGACTTGTCGTCTCAACACATTAAGCGGGAAATAATGTGGATTTGGCGCGTTCTTTAAACACCTATGGCGACGACTTATCGCTCTAATAAATAACAAAAATTAAAAATAATATATTTTTTTAATAATTTCACGGAAATAAAACTCGGACATTGTTTTTTGGGGATAACTATAGGGACGACTTGTCGTCCCCATAGCTTTATGTGCCGGAAATTATGAGAGTAGACCCCTTCATTTAACTCACGGCGCTCAATCAACAGTATCACTGACTCACTCACTCACTCACTCTCTCTCTCTCTCTCTCTCTCAATTAACAATGCTCCTATTGCGACTTCCTCGCCTCCTACTCTTGGCAAATCTTCTTCCTCTCTCTTGATCCTCATGCTAGTTGCTGAAGACCACCGGTGGTTAGCTTCAACTCCGATGATTCTAACTGCAGGCTTCATTTTCGCCTCCGGTTACAAATTCTAACGAATACAAGCCCTACTCCGGCGACCTAGGTTAGTAATTATGTGTTTGAAACTGGAATTGGGGTTTATGTTAGCAATTATGTGTCTGAAACTAGAATTATGGTTTTCTTTCACAACTTCTCATTTTGAAGATGCAATACTGATAAACTGTCATCACATCAACGATTTTTCTGTTGATTTTCCTTCTGGTTACTCATTATTCAAGCCTGGAGTATTAATTTCTCTGTGGATTTTACTTCTGCGATTAAAGGTATTTTTTTCATCGAGATATGTTTTTAGCACCAATCATTTTCATGACAACCTGTAATGGGAATTAGGAACTTAGAACATACCTCATAATTAGATATGATTCCCGTTCTGTATTCATTATGCTTCTTGTATGTTGAAAGTGATGACAAAGATGATTAGTATTTGATATAGACTTTAACATATAAACATCAAGTCAAGTAATATATTCATAGTTAGGATTATGAAAATTTGTCTATTAATGGAGAATTTCTTACTATATTTCATTTGTTATAATGGTCAATAATTATGGATTTTTGCTATATAGAGAAGCATTAATGATATGAACTTGCATCAGTGGTAATCTAGTATATGAAGAAACTGGTGCAAGCAACTGATTTTTGTTATTGTGTTTTGATTGGTAACTGAGCAGGTTATTTGAAGAAAATCAGTTAACATGCACAGTTCCATTAACACTAGGACTTGTTCAAAATGTTGAGGTCTTGTGAGTATCATTAGTTGTTTATGATTTTTTATAAAGTCAAATGAAATATTCATATTTATTTTCATCTAAAAGTTTGGTAGTGTATGAATTATGAAACAGACGATTAGACAAGAATATGATAAGTGGTGATATCCCTTCAAACATCTACAATCTTACATCACTCAACCAGTTGTAAGTTAGAAAATATATTCTATAAATCCCAGAAATGGAAACTTACTTTCATTCATTTGTTTCTTATAGCATTGTACTTTGTACATTCTACTCAATTATAGCAATGTCGTTCAAATATAAATCAATTTTCATTGCTAAATTTGGTAAATTTCAAATGTATAAGTTCCTAATAAGAAAAAAAAAATTCAAAGCCTATTGCTATTTTTTACATTTAACCCTTACATAAAGATTGGATTTTGACTTGTTATGTTTTAGATATCTTTCCAACAACAACTTTGAGGGCCCATTTGCCCAATCTCACTAGAATGAAAATCCTTAACTACTTGTAAGCTTCTACATAATATCATTAATTTTATAAATATATCATTAATTTTGTAAATATATAAAAAAAAGTGTAATTGTTATGCAAAACATCATTGTAGGGATATGAGCAATAATCATTTTCAACCATCAGAGCTTCATCCATGGCTTTCATCATTTCAATCTCTACCAACGTTGTACATATTTCTCTCTCTCACATACACACACACTCTTTATCTTTCCCTTTCTCTCTCTCTCTCTCTCTCACACACACACACACACATAACATTGTAAATTTTTCTATCTAAATTCTTGTTTTGACTTTCAATATGTTTAAATTACTGATTGTTGGTTAAATTTGCAATGCCATGATGATGCAAGATACAGGGCTTTGAGGAGAAGTACCTGTTGACTTATTTTTGTAGCACAAATACCAACAACATAACTTTTTGTAGCAATGATCTTAACATGTAATTTCTCTTCTCCATCCATTTATAAAATTTAGCTTTAATTACCTTCTCCCTCGATTCTATTTTTCTTTTCCTTTTATCTGTTGGGGGTCGGATCATGTAATAGCAACCTACTTTTTTTTATATGTCCCACTTAAATTCATCTCAGTTTGATTTTCTTGAGTCATTTGGTGAATAATAGTTTGACTTAGTTTCTTGAGTCATCTCTTCAACCTTTTGGTTTAAAATAACAAAAATACTAAACCATTTGGAAATTACATTAGTTAAAAGTAAATAAGATACAACATTTGGTAAATAATATACTTTGCAAATGTGTTAGTATTGTTCTATTTTTTTGATTCTTAATATTATATAAATTGCAAATTGCTTACAAGAAAATGAAACTGTTACTTCAAAATGAAACTGTTTTGCAGAAATGAATTTAGAGTGACAAGATGTTGAAAGAAAGTTTTTTGGGTGATTGTGGAAGAGAGTTCTAATTAAGAAGAAGAAGAAGAGTGAAAAGAGGCATTTAGTTTTTCCTGTTGACACATCAATTTTTTTAATCAAGTAGAAAAAGAAATATCTAATGATGATTTTACCCTTTGTGTATGTTCATAGTGTATGGGCTACAACAGAGGCTTATTCAGCTCCTTCAACTGTGCTGACTTCTCAGAGAGGTTTATGCATGGTTAAACCGTAACACTGTAGTATATAAGGTCTTAAACATGGTTAAGAGTTAACTACCTTTGGCTTTCAGGTGGCATCTTGGTGGGAAATTTTCAGGGTACCAAACAACAACAATGGCATCGTGGGAAATTTTCAACTCCTTGGAGTCAATTATGTCCTTGTTGTTTTTGGAGGTTGGTTTTCCTTTTCTCTTTTTTCTTTTTAAAAAACTTGAAAATAAGAAATTAATTATTTAAACTTTTCATTTACGTTCATGTGTGTGTCAGGTGCGTATAGGAGGAAGCGTCTTCCTACATATCAAGGAGCCTGATTATTTACTTACTTGCTTATTATAGTAATCCACTTTCAACTTTTTTAATTAATTATAGCATTGTACTTTTTAAAAAATGGAAAATAAATTACTACTATTTCATTGTTATTTATCTATTCTAAATATGCAATTTCAGGTATTTGGTAGATAACTGGTGAAGTTATTGCAATGTAAGTAGGATGTTGAACACCTAGAAAGCAAAGCAATCCATTTAGCACTGAATGAGATGACATCTTCCAATAGCTTTAGGGAGCAAAGAAGGACACACCATGATGAGAAGCAATCCATTGTTGATGGTGTTTTTTTATAAATCATGTAGAATGTAGTGTTATGTACACAAATGATAAGGCATGTGATGATTATGCAAATTTCCTCAAGTTAATAATTTTGTTCTTCATATGATTTATATTTGCAATAATGTAGTGTTTTGAGATTGTGTCACATTTTAATGTTTTTCAATTAAATTTACCATTTTAGCTATCTTGTAAATTTATTGCTTTAGCGATTTTGTGATGTGAAAACTGGGAAATTATAAGGAAAAAAAATCAATTTTATGGGCATACCTATAGAGATGACATGTCATTTCTATAGGTGCATCTATGGAGACGACATGTCATCTCTACTTGTGTATCTACCGCGGCCACGCACTACTACTCTTCCTCGTTATCTATAGAGACAACATGTTGTCTTTATAGATACACCTACAGAGACGACATGTCGCCCCTATAACTTCATCTATGGAGACCAGCACCGTATAGCGACAAACTAGAACAAGACGATATGTTGTCACTAAAGGATACCTATTGTGATGATATTTTTAGCGACGACCAAAAGGATCTATTGCAACGGGGCTATGGAGACGAAAGCTATTGGGACGATATGTCGTCCCGGATACCTATAGGGACGACT